CTTGGGGCACTTGAAAATGCAGAAACTTTATATTTCCTTGCATTTACTTTTGATTTGATGTAATTCTTCAACAAACACATTTTATAGAAAAGGTGAACATTATTTCGTCAGACTAGGTTCACCTTTTTTGAAGTCTATCTTTAAAAAAAATTGACATGCCGATATGTACTAAAATATTTTAGGTGACTGTAATCATTCCTCCTGGCTGCAAAGAGAGCCCTTCCTAATTGTACCAGTGTTGCATTGTACCACCCTGCAGTGAATGTGTTTGTTTAAACAGTGTGACATTTTATTTGGGTTCATCAGGCAGATCCAGTCCTGGCTGACATCAAGGAGGTTTGTCAAAGTCTGGACCAGGAGACACCACAGGAACCCGCAGAGGCACCGACACAAGTCAGAGAAAAACTTTGGGTTCATCAGTTGTTGTTTTTTTTTCCTATGTCAACACTGTATTCTGAATGTTGTTTCCTCTTGTTTTTCAGACCAGCTCTTTATTGCTTCTAAATGAGAATTCAGCCCTTCCAGCTGAGGTAAATTAAAGAACAATTAAGGCTCAGTTTTATTCCTAAAAAGAAAAATAATCTCTTCATCTGCTTTTTTCCAAATGATGGAGGTGGAGGTCACATGTTGAAACAATACTGACTGTTATTTTCAGGGACCAGCTTTTGAGGGTGTGTTCAGTCCACGGCCAGACTCTTCACCTGGACAATCGAACCAAGTAAACCACAACACAACATCTGTTATGTGAATGTTTTAATCCGCTGTGTTTATGAGAGTATTGACAATTTAACCACTAACCCACTGAACAGCTGTACCCAGAACAACAGGTAAAAATTAAAATCAAATCAAAATAAACAGTACATTACTTGACCTTTTGGAATATCATTGTTTTCAAATCAAATAATGAATAATGAGTAAATAAGGATAAACGTGTCCAAGTGGAAAATATGATTGCAAAAATACATCATATTCTCAATAGATGAGACGTCTCAAGTTCAAATTGGACATATGATTATCAAGGTGAGCTAGGTAGCTAGCAGCTCATCTTCTAAGATCCTGAACTAAGCAAATAGGTTGACACAGAATTTCTATTCTATTTGAATCTATATGTTATCTATGTAATTTGTCATTCATATCCACTATCGTTCAGCCAGTCACTCTATATTTTTAGAAATTAGATACAAACTAATGTTTTTTGTTTCTGTGTCTACAGGTCTCATCTAGGAAAGAGCTGATGGAAGTTTTCTCAGTCCAGCTGGAGGAGCCGCTGTCACCCCTCCAGAGCTCGTGTCCCAGTCAGCCAGGTCAGTGGTAACACGGGGCAAAGTGATGACGCGAGGAACCTTGAAGTGCAATAGGTTCGGAGTTCAGAAGTCAGATAACTCAAACATATTCAAAATATGCCAATACCATAAATAAATGCAAAAACAACCACAGACTAAAAAAGCCAATATGTCTTTAAGAGTCAAATAGCTTCAGGGAAAGTACTTTAAAACCACAAAGAGCCTGAGTGGAAGCGTTACCTGTTATTCCAAATCCAGGGCAACATGAACACCCTTCTCTCGTTTGGTCTCTGGTAATTATCTTCCATATTTTGCTTGATATTTTGAATCTATAGCATATTTTCTGTATATTTTTTCTTTACATATTTAGAACACAAGTCCCAGCAGTTTATTTCCACAGATGTTTATGAACTTCACACTGATTATGTAACTTGTAACATTAGTTTGAAAGTCCTGTGGCCAAAAATTACAGAATTGGCAGAGGCTTTTTCTGTCAGTTCTAGATGCAGTTTCCAATCTTTTTTTGGGGTTGTGGACATAAAAACATGACATATAAAAGTACAAAATATATTGCTTGTTCAGCCCCAGTCTTTCTGCCATCCCATCAAAGGGAGGATTCATACAGAGATGTAACACATACACTGATCACCTATCATGCAAATAGATATCATCAGATAAACAAACTTTCATCACTTCGGTCCTCTAGATTTCAAGGTTACTCGCTGTGGGCATCTCATTTGTATTTATTGAATAGGGGCATCAACACTTCTGTAATGTGTTAACACACACTGCGCTGTGGCAGTGAGACTGTGGTTAAATTAAATAACATGGTTGAAGTGCTGTGGAGCCTGCACACCAAAACTTCATTCATGTCTTTACAGAAAATCAGATAATATAAACTAAATATCTGATCCAGCCACGTGCGATTTAGAGTTCATAATAATACTGAGATATAATCAGAAGATCAAGCAGCAAGTTAAATAATTTAATTTAGACACAAACCATACACTGTTTCTCAGCAGCTGCTGCTCTTCAACTGACATCTGACCTTTGACCTGGAGACGCAAGAGAAACGTCAATTTTCCCTAAATGTACACAGTATTTTCCCATGATCGCTCTGTATAAGTACACAGGTCACATTACCATAATTCCCATGGTGCTGCTCCCATGATGGATTAAATAATCTCACACATTTTTACTGCCTCGTCTCAACTCGTGCTCAGTTCCCACAGATTCAGTTATCCGCGCCTCCTCCTTTACCTCTGCACGCTGGCAGTGTGTGGCAGTACAGAAGCCCTGATCCTGATTTCTTTTTATTTTCTATTATTATTAAAATGTTTTTTTTCTTTCCAAACATATTTTTTTAGGTAAATTGGTTCATAAACAAATGGATCAGTTGAATCATCAGGCAATTAATCAGTTGTTGCTCAGTTTGATAATAATAAAGTCAATAGAAGTATTATACATGTGTGTGCTTGATATTCAGTGACATCAACAGAATAAACTGGGGGAAAAGATAAGAGGAACAAAGAAGGAGATGGAAGAGTTTTATCTAAACAAAAAAAAAACCCACAGAATGTAAAGAGGACAAGTTAGCCAAACATGACTATCTGCACTAATACAGTATATAGTACGTAGACAGAGCAAGATCATTTTTTGTTTTTGTTGGGTTGCAGAGGATGACCAGATATGTATATATGTACATCCAGAGCAGGATTGAATTTTAACTCACTATCTTCTACTTTTCTCACAGAGTCTCCACAGCCTCCACAGCCAATGCTCTCCACCTCGCAGATCCTCTCCATGTTCCCCACCCAGCCACTAGGTGGCTCTCCATACGTCTCTCCGCCATACTCTCCCACTGCCATGCCCTGGGACCAGAGAGGGCCTCTGGGAAACCAGTGGGCTGGTCCTGCTGCGGCGCCCTGGCCAACCATCACTGGTGGCATGGCGGCATGGGCACCAGCAGGCGTCACAGCGCCCCCTGCAGGCAGCCAGGTGGAGGCTCACAGCGTGGTGAGCGCTCAGCCAGGGGTCATGTGGGGGGGGAATATACCCGCTTCACCCACCACTGTCAACGGGTACCCCACCCCTTTAAACTCCGGTTATGCTCCGACTGGAGCAACAGGAGCACTACAGACAGCGCCCCCCGGCTTGGACAATAATCTCCTGTGATGAACTCCACACCACCAACGTTTCATTCAACGCTTTATCCAACATCACATGGCAATATTTCAGTCTGCAGCAGATTAAAACCAAACACCCTGTCCCCACCCAGATATGAAATATAGACAGCAGACTGGATCACCAGCTACTTGGTATCATATACTCATGTTTCATTACAGTTACACAAAATCCACTCCTGTAACTGGACTTCACAAATCTTTAGCTCCCGTAATGAACTGGCTAAAATGAACACTAGCTTGATGTGATCTTGTGTTATCATGCAAGTGTGAAACTCTCCATTTATAAAATTCTTATTTTCAATCCAGAGAGAATTTACCATATTTTTCTCCTATTATTATTCTTGTAATTCCTTTCATGGCCGCTGTATGTGGAGTCATAAGAGTACCATCAAAAAGAGTAAATCCGTAAAAGAATAAGAAAATAAATATGGAAATATAAACAGAAAGAGATCAAAAAATAAAAATGCTTTTATCTGTTGCTTTTGCTTATGCTTCTAAATTAGTCTCCTTATGTTTAGCTAAAATCTTGGTGCTAGTATTATTATCTAACCACCTGAATCTGGCCGTTCACTCCTTCTTTTGTTTTCATAAATTTAAATATGTGATGCAATGGAAAAACAGTCAGAGTTACAGTATAAGGTGTCCGTGACATTTACTGTCTGTTTAAACTGGAAAATGCAATGTTTCTTTCCAAAACAGAGCAGTTTCACTGCTGCTGTTTCTCATCAAATGAAAACTGAGAGACGTTGATACTAATCATATTTAATTTCTTCTGCAGTCTACTCTGTTTTTTCAGTTTTATCTGAAACACTGATAAACTTTTCCTGTCTTTATTTGGTCTGTATCAAATTAACTACAATTTGATATCTTATATAAAAGGTTTTTGTCAGTTCTTGTACTGTTCGTTTTTTGGGGAGTTTTCCTTATCCAGACCAAGACTCTAAGGACAGAGGGTGTCGTGTGCTGTAAAGACTATAAAGTCCTTTGGGGGCAATCACAATTTTGATTTGTGATATTTGTGATATATAAAGGACTTGACTTCACTTGTACAACCAGAATGAAATACAGAAAGCAGAAGCAAGCCTATTTCATCTCACTTCACCTCACTTTTACTTAGTTTCATTTTTCTTCAAAATTCAGAGCTTTACTTTTTCTTGTGTCCTCTGAATGAAATTATTTCATTCATCTTTGCTCTTTTTGTGCTTTCCTTTCCTTTCCTTTCCTTTCCTTTCCTTTCCTTTCCTTTCCTTTCCTTTCCTTTATTCATACAGCGAGATGATAAAACACAAAGAGCAGAGAAAATTGATAAATGCTGATAATACAAAATTACTTGCCAATCCTTGAAATGTGGCCCTTTTTTCTAAAAAAACATTCAAACATAATGAAAGCTCTGACCTTTCAAGAAGAAATGAAACAAACACTATGACAGCATGTTAATATTTCCCTGCTGTTGAAGCTCATGTTGTGGCGCTGTCAGTTAACCACCTTCCCCACAGTGAATTACTGAGCATTTCCTCATTTGCAGTAAGCTTAGAGACACAGGTCATGTAGGTGTTTGTACATTAACATCAGCCTGGATACTGAATCACTGCTGGACATGGGGCACTTTATCCACCACTGAATCATCACTAAAGCTAAAATATGGTAAGAAATTCTCATTTATAATCATTTGTATAGTTTGGTTGTAACATAGGGATTAACAGCTCCCCTACTCTCAGCGGTAGTGACTGTGTAATTCTGACCATTTCCTCCTGACAGTCAACCCATCTATGAATAACCTGACAATCAAAGAAAGACCATGGACAGATTTTATTGTTTCACCGGGTAAAACCTCAGTTACCTTTTATCATAACCTTTTAAACTTTTAACCTGGTTTAGAATCCTTCAAACACATGATCTGGCATTTTGAACCAGCACGTCGTGGCTCTCTGGTAGATCCGGTAAAACATTAATGTGTTGAGTTGCACTTGTTCTCTACAGGAATTACATCATTTTCACAGCCAAAAGGGGGAAGTTGGAATTTGAAATTGCCTAGAGCGTTCATCCTGCAGCTGATGAATGAAAGCTTTATCACACAGCTATCACCAGTTAATGATTCACAGCACTCAGTATCGCTTCACTTCAGTTTGTATTTTAATAGCATTTTGAAACTTTTTTTAAATAGAAGAAGCTCAGTGATGGTTGATATTTAGCCTTTAAATTGTAAAATATCTTAGAACTCCTTCAGGTTTTTCTCCATATTTGGGTGTATAGAGACTTGAGAGGCTCGTGACTCTAAAACTCAACTAAAACCAGACTTATTATTGTATTCTTAAATCGATTAAACAACTACATCAAATGTGTTCTGTAGCAAAGACTGGCTGTTACACAGCGTTGTGTTAATATATTGAATCAATTTTTTAGCTTTAGCACAGGTTAGTGCAATTTAAAGTGCAATGCAGAAAACAGTTAGCTTTACTGGTTGTTGGTGTAGTCTTAATAGAGATCAACAGAGTTAGACAATATTTCAGAAAATGCTGACTTTCACCCACTGCAACATATTTTAAAGAACAAGAACAATATGTATTATGATAACAACTAAGTCATATTTTATTCATTATTTATTTTGTCACTCTGTTTTAAATACAGTAGTTTTTCTGAGTGTTGTCAGGTTTTCTCTGAAGCACCTGCACAACTAGAGACTGTGGAAAGACACCTGAGATAATGTGTGCCACATGAAGGGAAACGCACACACACGCACACACACACTTGTACACACACACTTGTACACACACTGTGTTTCTTCTGCAGGCGCTCGCTGACTGAAAGTGGAACCCCATGTCTGAGTTTTGTGGTGTAGAGAAAAAGTTTTTTGTCTGCTTCCTTTGTTCCTCATGACAAGATAGAGTGAGCGAGCAAGCGGGCAAGCGACTGAGCAGAGTTTGCAGCTTATTGGTGCAGGAGCAACAGTGGAGGGTATTTCTATGGTAACCAGCGCAGGATGCTGGCTGAGGTAAAGAGGTGTGTGGTTGTGAGCACTTCCTGCACTTCTTCACATTCTTCTGTCTGGCTTTGTAAAGCTTTCAACTTGAGGTGTTCAGACAATAGTTCAGTGATTCCTTTATTATGATAATGTTTTTCTTTTTGTTGTTGTGTACAAAGTACCAGAGACATTCATTCATCGTGTTTCACTACTCTCTCCAAATCTTATTTCCTCTATGGTCCTGTGTTTGCTGATCACCTTTGGGAAATTGCATAACCAGTGCTGTGGTTTTAAAAACTGTTTTAAGACCCCACCAGCTGAATTTCAACTAAACCAATGAGTTTGCTGCTGCCGCTCTGTAACGCTTACTTCACACTCTCTTTTCTCTTCTTGCTCGGTCCACTCGTCAAGATGAGAATGATTACATTCAAACCCCAAATAACATCACAGAGACGCCTCAAAACATGTTTCAGTCCGCGACAGATTCCTGTTGACACTAATGTCTAACTAAATGTCTTTTTTATTTTTATTGACAATGTGCTAGTACATCTGCAAAAATAGTACTACATATCAAACTTTGTCAAGAATGCGGCCATTAAATCGTGAATTTATTTCCTTTGTTGTCCCTGGTGTTTACACAGTTCACCAACCTCATCAAGTTCATCATTAAGATAATAGAAAAGTAATAGAAGACACAGAAGAAGTCATGTAAACAAACTAGAAGGGCCCTCAGAGAGCGCAGATCTCCAACGAGGCCATTGTAAAAATACATATGCCAAACTTTAGAGAAACAATTCAAATTCATAGCAAATGATCCAGATCTGCCCCAAAATGTAATGGGTTCCTTCCCATCCCTCCACCAGGTTTGGTGAAAATCGATCAGTACTTTTTGCATAATCAGATAAATAATCAGACGAACAAACAAACAAACATGGATGAAAACATAAACTTCTTGGAGGAGTAACAATTGATAAAAATCTTTTCAGAACCACATGAAGTAATAGTGACAAAAACACATTAAAGGGGATCAACATCATGAAATAGTTCAAAATGTAAACATCATTGGATTAAAAGATCGTTTATAACAACATTTCAATATCTCCACACTCTATTAAGGAATACTAGTTAGGAGCCATTGTCAAGCCTTTGCTTTAAAGCAATGGGAGTTTGAGTTTGAGTTTATTCCACTCCACTGCACCAGAGTACAGAAAGTAATCCTGACCTGTCTTCTATGTCATCTATGAAGCATTAAGTTTGCTACACTGGATGTGATGTTATGGCTATGGACTAAAATAGTTTAAAATAGCAATGAACAGTTTCATGTTCACTCCTACAAAACAATATTTGATTGAATATGATGTCCTGTGCTCCACTGGAAGCCAGTGAAGCTGTAAGAACTGAAATCTTCTTTCCTTTTTGACTTTCATCCCAACAGAATATGTTTTTCAAAAACACTCCAAAGAGAATATGTTTACTCTGCCTGGCCTCTCTATCAGGTGCACATATAACATTTACTGCAATGCAGTGCAACAGGAATATTATAATGTTCAGTTTTAGTTGACACTGTCACAGGTGTTTATTACTGACCTCCTAGTTAATGGTGAGCAGTGTTGGGGAATAGTGAACACATTATTAAACTAGGACTTAAACTATTTTGCAGACGTTTGCAGGTAGTTACGCTACATTCATATTTGCATATTGAAACGACAAACCATAAAAGGAAAAGAATGATTTAAAAAAAAAAAAAAATTCTCTCTGTTTCATCCTGACCACTGTGAATGCAAACAAAGGCAATGCATTTGTCAGGCAGGCCACACAACATGCTTTGTGTAGTGCATGTGCAAAAGCTAAGGGTGTTGCTTAGTGCTCACACACCGACAACACCATGATGGATAAACCTCCTCAGTCTCAGCTCAGACTGTTTTCTGAGCGAATGAATCAAAAACTAGCAGATTTCAGCTAAACACTCAGAGAAACCAAATCCTGCAAGGCTGGGCGGTGGGTCAGAGTGGGCTGGGCTTGGGGCATCTGAGACTGGGGATTGTATAGTTGTGACATCACAAAGCTATGGAAGTGATAACGGCTTTTCTGAATATGGGCTGTGTTCATTTCTCCATGGATTGAGACTTTGATAATTTCACAGTATTAATATAGGATCTAGAACTGCTTTATAATCAAAAAAGACATAGAAATCTCACCTTATATAATATGGGACCTTTAAACAGTTATTGTTTACAAAACCATAGCTGACATTCCTTGCACTTTCCTATTGATAGTGAGGTATTTTAGTTTTTTGGTTTATGTTATAACATGTAAACAAGTAGGCACTTTTCACAATAAATTGCAATAAATAAAACATTTTTATTACAACTTTGTAAAATGTCACGTGAACATTTTTTTTTTACAAAGTAGTTTGAACTAGCTTTAGTAGCTTTAGTTAACCAAGCTCATTTTCTTCCTCTGGTTTTCTCCCTGTGGTAGCTTTGCTGTAGTTCAACTTCTTCCAGCGAAGTAATTGGTAGCTTGCAAAGTTATAATGCTTTCGAAGTAGCTTCCCCAACACTGGTGGTGAGTTTGTATGGGGATGGGCCAAACCCCCTCCCAATATAATGCAATGTAGTCCAGTTTCTCACCACATTTACTTTATTTTATTTTACTTTTTTTTAAAGTTTAGTTTAGTTTTTTTTAGTTTGACTAGCTCCACAGTGGAGTGATGCAGTTCATAGTGAGAAACCAGACAGAAAACCAGGAAATGTCTTCTAAACATACAGTAGTAAGAATAAAAGGACTGAACACAAACAACAGGAGATGAGTTCATGATGCATAAAGTTAATTCAACTGTACAACATCATGCTGTGCTATATTAGAGTTTTGAGGAAGTGATGATTCAGCCATAACAGCCTCACTCTTTCTGAAAATTGCTGCAAAGGGATTTTAATCAATACGTTCTCTTCATTAAAGTGACTTTACAATATGCCCTCCCTTTTAGCATCTATAGACACTATATATCTATATATGGATATATAAAGAGAGAGATAGGTGGTGGTTTGAGGAGGTGATGAGGAAGTGATGAAGTGCTGTATATATATATATATATATATATATATATATATACATATGTATATAACAAACAGAGATATCTGCTAACAACTACTTCGTTCTGGTACTATACAGTATAATGTGTTATGAACTATTTATTCTGTGTTTATACTGCTTATAAATGCTGTTCAGGTGCTGATCTGGGATTACTTCTTGCTGTCTTTAGTTTTGTGTGCTGCAGGGAGTTGGTGGGGACTTGTGAGCTCTGTGAAGATAAAAACAACCAGGAAATTGTGTTGTTGCATGGTGCAATCACACTTTGTAAAGATAGCGCAGGCTTTTGATGAGTTGTGTGTGTTTGTGAACGTGGGGGTCATGCCTTGCTGTGAGCTGTGCTGCTAACTTCCTGCTTAAGAAACAGAGCAGCCGCAGGTTTGAGTTTGTGCTCCTGTGTAATTTTCAGGAGGAGATCGTAGATGTCAAGGCTCTGAGGGCCCGGTTCAACAATAAGACCAGCACCTCGGACACCAGCAGCCGAGACAGCGGGTCCCCAAAATCTCCACGACCTGGGTTTGGGAGAGCAATCTTGCCAGTGACAGATAACAATCTGGCCCATCACAGACTGTCTCCCTCTATTCCTCCTCCTTTGACTGGCCCAGGGCTGGTGAGGTTCCCAAGGCCAGAGCCAACAGCCGCCTCCAGCCCCCTCAGACCTGCCTCTGTCCCGCGACCGCCTCTACATTCTGGAGTCAGAGCACCCATCCAGCCGGCAGACGCCAGCAAGGTCAAACAGACGGGGGAGATGCTACAAAACATGATGCTGAGGCACCAGATCCCTGCAGGTATCAGACCAGCTCTGGCTCCATCTCCAACTCCACCTCAGGCCCCTGCACCAGCTCCCACCTCCACCCCTCTCCGACAGCCGCCCAGACAGAGGAGCGCAGGGGAAGTGACCCCGCTGAGGAAGCCCCTGCCCCCTGAAGGACCCCTGCCCTTGAAGCCAAAACGGCCTCCGAGTGTCAACCTGGAGCCCTTTATGAGGTTCACCCGAGGACCTGCCCTTCCTGCCCCGAGGAAAAGTGATAGTGAGTCTCTCTAATTTATTATTAACGCACAGATTTTTAATTATGTATTACTCAACTTGTAAATGAAGACGATCTAGAATTTCTCTGCTTATTTCTCTCTGGCTAAATGTTTGTAAAAGGTTAATTATTCTGAAGATGGAAAGAAAACACCTGCGGTTCTTTCTGTTTTAAAATGATTTGAGTAACATCATCATGGCAGTTGCTGGTGTAATTATAAGATTAGTCAATATAATACAAGGACAAAGCTTGTTTTCTCACAGTAGGAAAAGTGCAGGTATAAGAAATTAAATGAATGGTGGCTGAATTCCATTTAGTTGCTTCAGTTTAAGGGTCCTGGTGTTGTGCAAGCTGCCTCGCTGTCACATCGTCATGGCTGCCTGGGACACTTAAATAGAACACCACCTGTTAATAACAGTAACACCGCTCTTAGTCTTCTACTCACTATTCTTATTATGAAAGGCCAAAATGTCTGCGGTGAAATAGACGTGTGTGGCAATTGTACTTTCCCATGCAATTTTACTTTCCCATGAATTAAACGCATTTTCCATGTTTAATGATGATGGTTAGATTTTTTGTTTTATTGAAACTTTTGATGGAAAGTTAAGTGATTAAAATGGATGAATCTCCATACCTAAATATTACTGACAGAGCATCAGATACCTAAAGAAGAATCTTCTATGAAACATAAGGATTCATTTTTTAAAATCAAATCTCATGATCACTGGTTCAAAGTCTTCAAAGCAACATTGACAAACCAGTGTGCTTCATCTTTGATTGGAAGTCAGCAGCATTAAAGCTCATTGAAATTAAACAAACAAGCCTAGTGCGGAAACATTTCAGCGAATGTGCCTCTCTTTTTGCCTTTTCATTGAAGATTGTCAGTGCTGTCATCGCTGCTTATCTGTCTCATTGTAAATAAAATTTCTTCATCTACGTAAAGACATTGTCTGGCTCTTCAGCAGGTTCCCCATGTTCAGCTGGTAGAAAAATGTCCCTGCCAGGATTAGTCAGTCCTCCAAAACTGCCACAGCGATCCAACAAACCAAGCAGACTGCCGCACCAGATTGCCTCTATGTAAGTATTCACCACTTCACAACATGCTGGTGTTAATACAGAAACAACCTGGTTTGAATTTCAGATCATTTACATCATATCTTTAAATGTACAATCAATGTTAATAAAATCACTGAGAGAGCCACACCAGATTCTCATTTCCTTCACAGTTGTCATGACGTTAAGAAGGAGGGCAGGAAATTATGCGAGAAATTAAATTTTAAAAAATCAACAACAAACATGTTGCAAACAACAAGTATAACACAAATTATATAAATAATATAAAACCGTTCTTTTTGTGCAGTTACTTCTACTACACTACTACACTACACTACACTAGCTCCTAAAAATGAAGTTTATATACAACAAATATCTTTTTTGATGGAAACAAGATGCTGTCCAGATGATGGTTTTATTTATTTTATTTTTTTCAGCAGGAAAAAAGTGTAATTGCTGAATAATGAACAAATGTTTGTTTATTGATTGCAGAGACATTGATGATAGCCAGGACACCTATGACGACATTGCAAGTTTTGAGAGGAATGGTAAAAAATTGTTTATTGGTGCAACGCTGCAGCCTCTTTCGTTCTTGAAGCTTTTCTTCTTCTGACACATTTTAAGTGAAAAAAATATATGAGTTGTAATTTACTTGTATTATCGTGATTATCAAGCATTTTTCTGAGAAATTGTGCCACTTTTTTAAAGACATGTCTTTCATGATTTCGCAGAGTCCTGGAGTGACAACAGTTCACAGTGTCTGGATGGGGTGGGTACAGAAAATTGAAACTGAAATTCTCACTGTAAAGTGAAAATACCACCAATTTGAAGAATTCAAAATCAGGTGGCTCCTCTTGTGAGAACACGTTGCACTCTTCCCCTAAAACTGTAACTAAACTTAGAATGAAAGTCCAGTTCACTCCTGTTTGTAATACTTTAGTATTTGTTTATGTTAGTGAGACAAATGACAATTAACTTTATTCACTGTCAGTGCTTTCAAGCGCTTCCTTTGATTTCAAGCTTGAGTTGAGTGTAATGTACACATATATAGACAACAATGAGGAAAACACAATGTGTTATATGACTGAGAAATAACACAATTAAATTCTTACAATGGGTGGTATTCTCCTTTAATGTAATAATCCCTGTGTATGAATATTTTCTTTTGTCTTCAAATCAAATTGTCTTTTGTCTTGCAGGATGATGATGATGATGATGTATATGAGTTTATTGATGAGTAAGTATAAACTTTCTGCTTTCTACTTTCCAATTAATTGTTGAGTCTGTGTCTAATAGGAGCTCTACACAACCAAAGTAAAAAGTGGCTACGTTGCGAAGCAACTGTTTCTTTTATTTCTGTTACTGCTGCTGTTATTTTTGCATCTGCTGCTACCACCGCTGCAAAGTGCTACTGTTGTGACAACCATCAGCCCAGTAGTTTTCTTAATCATAGTCGTATTTGCATGTGAGAGGGAGTGCTAGGCTGTAATGATATGTGCATTTACACATTCATATTTATTCATTCAGAGGGCCGTTTTGTCTAAAGCTACGTACAAATGAGATACTAACAGAGCCACAGCAGGTCTAGGAGAAGTCTTCAAGAATAAGTGACTCATTATCTGCCTCTTTTGTTTTAAAGTCAGAAGAATTTCAAATTGCATGAAGGTTCGTTAAGCATATTGTGCAGCTTGTCTTTACTTTTAAGTTGTGTCTGTGATTCAACACACATGTTTCCCGTCAAAGCAGGATATTGTGACAAATAACAGGCAGAGTCTGTTGAAATCTGGGCAAATCAGAAAAAACTGAGACAGTGAAAGAGAGTAAATACTGAAGTTGGTAAAGACGTTTAGTTTGAATTGCTTAGTGCAGAATGAATGGCTTCAAAACATGTTAATTGTCTCTCATGTACGACTGATTGTTGTGATGTTACAGCTTTTACTGAAAATAAGATGAATGATCATAAAATCTGTTAAATTGATGTGTGAGAAAAGATACACCTTTTCCAGAGAGTTTAATGTAATGTAAAGTTTTAGTAATGTCATTTTAATAGAAAACTATGAGAAAACAAAAACACTGCCAAGCCTTGTTTTGTTGTTAGTCGTACAGTAAGTGCATGTTGTCGTGAAAAAGTAATTTTTCAGTTGAATTTCTCCTTTCTAGGGACCAGGTGGGCGTGAATCAAGTAAATGCTGAGAAGATAAGAAAGAAAGAAGCAAAGAAGCATCGAGAACAGGAGAAGAAAGAACAGATGGAGCGTCAGAAAAAAAAGAATGAGCTGAGGAAGAACTTTCAGGTAAGGGCCCAGCGACATCTGTCCTCCATGAAACTTCCAAAGATCCAGTTCCTTCAGCAGCAGATCTGATGGCATCACCTTAAGCATTTAGCATGGATGACAGTTTAAGGAAATTCAAAACAGAAATGCTACTTGCATTTTGGAGATAAAGATATAATATAGTCATAGTAAATTTAGGATAGCTACTTTGGGTAAGTTAACCTGCTAAACTACCAGCTTCATGATTGTTATGATTTTGAATTAAAATGCATCTTGAAATATACATTTTTATTTCTAGTATAAACCAGAGATCCTTCTTTGAACTTCAAATTTGCAACTTTCACACCTTACTTATCTGTCCATATGTAGTTGCAAGGGGAGGTGGAGGTTCTTCATACAGCCAAAGTCCGACACGATTGGCACGGAGGATCAAAACTGGACCTCAGTGTACGACAAGGCGAGAGTGTGGAGATCCTTCGGGTGAAGAATAACCCAGGAGGCAAATGGTTGGCTCGGTCTCTGAATGGAACCTGTGAGTTCTGCTTTAAATTTCTCTTAATCAATCATGCAGAGCATCTTCCCATCTGAGCCACAAAGGTAGGCGTCTGAGTAAGCCATGAATTGGCCCGTCCAGCAAATTCACCTCCCAACATGAACCAACACAGAGGAGACCTTTGTTTCACATTAAAAAAAAACACAGGTGGAAATACCTGAAATTCAATACTTCAAAATATTTTCCACATATTGCTTAAGTGGAAAAGTTATATCAAGCATATCAAGAAAAGATGCAATAAAAGCAGACACATTTTTTCCAATACTTCTACAATTAGTGTGCTCTTGTCACAGAAGATATTGTTGTTGTGTTTGGCAAGTGTTTCTTATGATCTTGCCTTGGCTCCTACTTTGCTTTGTAATGGACATTAAAAAAAACAATGTATTATGTTATGCAGATAAGACACAACTCTGTGAAAGAGAGATCTGTGAAAGCAGTCAGTTCTTCTGGCCTTCTGTCTTTTGACCTCTTATTCTCTGGCTTTTTGTTTACTTCCTCTAGTGTTTATTTCATCTTTCCAATAAGTTATGTAAATTATGTAAGCAATCAGAATCAGAAGTAATTAAGTGCCAAGTATGTTTTCCCATATGACGAATTTGCTTAGGTGTTTTGGTACATAACAATGTCAGCAATTGTAGACAGTTGACAGGTTGAGGACAACAAAGAATGCTATAAAGGAAAGCAGAAGAGCATTTGAAGTGTAAAGCGCAAGCATTTGTAAAATTTGATTGAAGTCAGTTCAACACGTGGTTACGTTGGTTTCTCCGGCAAGCTAAATGGCAATATAGCATGAAAGTAGTGTTACTATTCTTGCTACAAGTTTAATGCAAATTCCACACAGTGATGAACTAAGAAACAACTGCTTCACATGTCAATGCTTCGAAATGATATTGCATATATGTATACTATATACTATAACGTATATATTGCACATTATCCTGGCTAAAGGGGATAACAATTTAACAACAAAGTGTTTCAGACTGACTGCCATTTTTAAATAAGAATCTAAAGCACATCACAATCTGCCAGTCTGTTTACCTTTAACCTTTCATGTTGGTCACATTTTGTTGTTGCTGATGAAGCGAATTCCTTTACAGTATGACTATTCTGTTAATCCAACAGTAGCAGAGTGAAATATGCACCAAATTAATAATACAATAACTGTCACAGTATTATATTGATATTTTTCACATTTACTGATGTATTCAGTACACATAATAAAATTCATCACCCAGCCATAATACTGATCATCGTTTGTTATGTTTGTTTCATCTGTGTTGACTTACAGTATATTACCTTGTCGTTGTGTAAACTTGCAGACGGATACATCAGCAATACATGTGTGGACATTGACTATGAAGCAGTGAAGCGCAAAGTGCTCCAGTCCAAAAAAATAGACACATCACCATTACCTCCACCACCTCCAGACCCCCCACATATGTTTGATGTGGACTCCAATAACAGAGACAGGTACAGTAGATTGTGTTCATCCTGCTGTATGGAAAATGTTCCTTGTTATATTGAAAGAAAAACCTCTCAACACTCTACAGCCAACCTTTACTTTAAGTTATGTTCAGTGTATCAGTAATTTGAAATTCTGTGAATGTAACCTGTAAACATGCCTAATTGTTCGGTTGCATTGCTTCTTCTGGTTCACCTGCTCTTGTTCCAACTAACATGTACGTTGTATTTCTTCTAATCTGCAGCATGCTTCAGGATGATGGTAAGTAACAACAAAGCACATATGAACATCACTGACTAATTAGGATTAATGTCAGATTTTTTTATTTATAACAGAATTGCTCAAAAGAAACAGCACAGTCTCAGTTATTTCTGTGAAATAAAGATCATTTGACTAGGTCATTTGGTTTAATAAAAAAATAAAAAAATAAAACGATTAAATAGCCGCCCAATCACCAGCGAAACTTTGCAGGAAATCTCTAAAAAAAATGTTATTTTGCAAAATTGTTGTATTGTTATATTGTTCAAAATTGAACATACAATACAATAACATGGGGTGCTGTTTGCTAAATATGATATTTGACAACTTAAATTAAATTACAAAAGATGACCAACTTTATCCCAAATATGAATATTTTAATGAAATAGTACTTGGCTATCTAGTGTGGGTCAAACTCATTGTTTACTTTATTCTATTTATCATTATTTAGTTTATTATTAATATCTATATTTAAGAGTTAAGGACATGTTTTATTACTGTTATTGTACGATTTTTTCAAACAAAAATATTAATGTTTATTATTTATTTAGAAGACAAGATAAAGTTAGTTTCAGTTTACAGCACTTGTTTTGTTCTCAGATGACTATGATGATGTTCAACCATTGACTGAGGATTTCCCCCCACCACCATTTGAAATCAGGTATCTGTTCATGTCTGATTTACTGAAAGGAAACAGGAAATGACTGGTTGAGTGTGCTGCTGTATCATTATAATGTAAATCTTTGTAAAGATCTGATAAGTTATGAGACTGATGTTCAAATAGAAGAGCATCAATTGTTAATTTCTAATTACTTTATTAATCTCTTGGGGAAAAAAAACATCTGAAAAACATTTGTTGAATAATACATTGGTATGGTATTTGAATGTTCTATATTTCATTGTCAAGCTCTGAAATCAAATTGTGAAATGTTTTATCATTTTCAGCATAGATCCCAAAGTGGAGAAGGAGCTAAGAAAAAAATTTAAGGTAAATATTTTTTCACACATTTATAACCGTGGTTTACAGTTTAAGTGTTAGCTAAAGAAGAGTGTCATCGGCATAGCAGTGAAAGGAAATGTATTTCTGAATTATTTGTCCTCATACAACTCAAAATTATATCATGACACATATAACATAAACATGCTACAGAACCTGCATTGAGAGATTTAAGAAAACTTTAAAATGCCAAAAATGTGTCACTGTAACTGTTGTTCTCCAGTTTGAAGGGCCACCCAGGGTCCTACACACCATGATGGTGGATCCCAACTGCATCTTAAAGAAGCCAGGAGGGAAGGATCTGCATGTGTCTCAGGGAGATGTCCTGGATATTATCCAGCTCACCAGCAGCAAGAAAGCTCTGTGTCGCAACAGGTTTGGAAAATGTACGTGAACACTTTGCATCCCTGTGTGATTTTATGTTATAGTAATCTACAGCATATTTTAATCCCCATTAGCCACTGTATTGTAACAGTGGCTACTCTTGCAACAGATACCACCAATACATATATATCATGCATCAATATATATGATTGTATAAAATAATTCAATAACAGTTGGATTTTACAAATTCATTGAGACTGTTCTACATAAAAGTCTGTTTTGTCTCTCCTCTCACAGATGGTTATGTGTCCAGATCACTTCTTCTTCCAATGTAAGTAATCTTAATCGGTTCATATGTGACTCTACCTTCATTAGCAAATGTAAAGTCTTTATGAATTAGCCTTTTCTAAATACGTGTTATTGTTGTTGTTATGGTAACAGTTTACTGTATCTATGACTTCTGGATGTCTGGATAAAGCTTACACTGACAAATATAGACCCACTTATATACACTGTGCACACACCTACAGTATGTGTTGTATACTGTATGAAGTTTGGCTATTGCTACATCCGTCCAAGTTGTAAATATAAATATTGCGCTTGATGCACCCATTTTTACACTAAGTTGTAAACTTAGTGTAAAAACCAAACCAAAGCTTTAACACATTTTGACTTAATGTGTTAAAGCTTTGGTTTAGATTTTACACAGAAGTATCAATGAAAATTGTCAATGAAATATCATATCAATAAAAATAACTTTTCTGCAATCAGTTTAACATCAGTCTACGTTTGCAGGGAAGGAGACATTTACGACGATGTTGACTATCCAAGTGGTGAGTTATCTTTGGATCCCCATGTTCTGTGAATAATTGCAATGCAAACTGTGTTAATATAATTTCCAGTGTAATTTGAAATTGTTTTCTCTTTTCAGACATCTATGACAACGACTCCACACACTGATTTTTCAAACATGTCAAACTTAACACACACACACTTTCACAGCAAGAAACACAAATGTGGAAACAAACTATATGAAAGCTAAAAACGTGTGGGTACAAATGCTTTATTTGAATCTATAGCAGCTGTCCTGCTCTCAAACAAACAAACAAACAAACAAACTAGACTGTAACTCAAACTCAAACTCAAACTCAATAAAACTATATAACTGTATAAAGTCATACCAAACTGATCCATGTGGATATACACATACGTTCCCTGTGCTAAGACCTGTCATCACTTGCATTGTTTGTCAAACTGCTTGTATAGCAAATGAATACACTATTACTGTAGCTTTGTGTTTTGCTTGACCTCTGAGATAACTTAAAAATAAATAAAATAGCTTTTTTTCCGGTAATTGTGATTTGATTTTTTTGTCAATTTTTAAGTTTCTTGTGAAAGAAATGTGAAAGACAACCCTTCTGCTCTTACTATGCGTCTTACTATGAGTGTGGGTGCACAGCTATGCAGCGTGCTACACACACTTCCAGTAAAGGATGTATCTTCAACTTTTACTGGAACTGTGTTTAAGTCACTGTTGATCTTTGAGGTTTTCTCTGGGAGCGACTTGTGAAACTGTGAAAACAGTAACTGACTACAACTCCAGTGATGGTGAGCAAGAAAAAGCTGATATTCCATAAACAACCAAAGGTATCATAAAAATGATTAGTACACTGACAAGGCAATGGAATTGCATATACACTTAGCTGGTAGTTGTAGCTAAAACTAATGCAACAGTCCTACAATAAACAGCATGTTCATGAAGGTTATAATGCTCAGTTTGTGTTGGAACTGTTCCAGAAAGGGGTTAATTCAATGTTATGGTCATTTTGGAGGATGTAGTTTGTGGTGCTGTTGAACTGAAAAGCATTATACCAACAGGCATTTCTATTATTTTGTCCAGCCTATTTATACTAATGAGTGCTGTTTAAATGACCGAAACACCTCTCTGTATAATGCCATACTGTAAACTATAAATTCAAAGGTAAAGTATAAGTAAACAGTAGGAAAAGAAAGTCCCTTCCGTTAATCCTATGTATCAGTTGATTCAGAGTAGCCTATAATTAGCATAACAAGATCCCAAATTTCCATTAATAAGAAAAGGAATAACATGTCTGGACTGGATCTGAATACAAATAATACACTATTGGTCAAAAGCTTAAGGGCACCTCCAGTGTTTCTGAAATTAAGTTAAAGCACTAAACAAATAAACATGTTGAATTAAATCTTATCTAGATATAGATTCAGCAGCCAAACAAACTTGTGACGTTCTTTGTACAATGGAAATCAAATTTTGTCCAGAAAGTTCATCCCAACACTGTTGCAGAGGTTCCCATAAATGTATTGTACTAGAATTGTACTAACAAAGCATTAGAGGGTGCAGTAACACAGTTTGTTCCAACACTAACATTGCACAAACAGAGGGTTTGTAATTAACCAACAAAAGTTGGGAGAAAAAGTCAGGAGTTGTTTGCATTAACTTTCAAAGCTTAATTTACTTCAATTGCTGCAGGTAAGTTAAGCAATTTCTTCAAAAGGTCTGATTTTTATGAAATTGACATGATTTTTCCATTTTTGGTGACCTTTTTTTCACCTTGGGCAGGTTACTGCTTACCTTTGTTCCATTTAAGGTCAGTCACTGGACTTGAACTGTTTAAATTTCAATAAAAAGTGGGAAAACAGGGCTGTTTTAAAACCTTTGACTGGTATGTTTCTTCATGCCTTATATATACTGATATTGATTCATACTGGAAAAATGAAAGGCTACTGAACTATCCGTATGGTTTATATTCTGCAACATCACCGAGCATTATTACTGAAATGCATCAGCCAGTATTGTTGAAGCAGAAATTATATTGCCCAAACTGTGGAGGGCAGCATAACACCATTGCTGTGTCTAGTCTGCAAGAAGACCACGAAGAAGAAGCTCCATTTACTCGGTGATCATCTACTTGGGTCTATATTTTGTTGGGTACTTCCTGTTTCAAAGTCCAGCTGAGAGCTGGTCCAGTGATTAAAGACAAAAATGGAGATGTTGTACTGGAGCTTCACAGATCCTTGTTTGTTTCTTTAACAGCGTCGTGAGTGTGTGTGTGTGTGTGAGCTGCAGACAGACATGCAGGAGTCTGTGGAGTCTCTGGTCCGACTGCTGGAGTCCTACAGAGGAAGAGATAAAGTTGTAAGTATTCATGGAGTCTAAAATAACAAACACCTAACTGTTATCCCCTCTAATGTGGGATAGTTCATTGGTCTTAAATAACTTTGTTATGATATTCCATTTTCAGTGTAAGTGTAGTTTCAGCATGGGTTTAGTTCAGTGTTTACTGCCAGCTGAACTGAGTTTACTCCTGCAGGACAAGAAAAAGAGAAATAGTGTCCAAAGTCGAAGTAAGAGTCATCTAAACACATTACATCTCCTACAATATTAATCATATGAATATAAATATAAATCCTTAATAGAGTAAAAATGTAAATACTAGATACTACTACTGTAAAAATTATTTTAATGCATGCATAATTTTGCTGTGTTAAGTTGCTTCATAAATGCTGAAACACTGCATTAATACTGTATATCATTATGTAGAAAACACAAATGGCAAAAAGAATAACTTTAGAGCTGAACCAATAAACCATTAGATATCCAGAAGAAAATTAATAATATTGATAACTATTTTGAAAATAGATTAATCATTTAGGTAATTTTTTTAAACATTCTCTGGATTCAGCTTCTTAATTGGGAGGCCTTATGCTTTTTCTCTTGTCTTACATCATACATTATAAACTAAACACTGTAGGGCTGCAACTAATGATTATTTTCATTATCAATTAATCTGCCAGTTATTTTCTTGATAAATCCTTTGTATCATTAAATGTCAAAAGTGACATCTCCAAATGTCTTGTTTTGTCCGACCAACATTCCAAAGTTTACTATCATGTATGACAAGGAAAAGCATAAAATCCTAAAATGACTAAGACAGATGAATTGTTGCAGCACGAAATGTGAGAAAAAAGCTTGATATTATTTGATTTTAGATCCTTGGACAAGAATAAAGAATAAAATAAAATAATACTTGTAGCTGCCACCTTGGACTCTCTCTAATCGATAATAAAAAATAAAATTAAGTTGCAGCCTTAGATTCAAACTTGTGAAAAAAATTTCACTTCACAATCCATCAATTCTGCAGTTTTTGCTGAATAATATTTCAGAAATGTTGCAAGTTTAGCTTAAATACTACATGTCATTATTATGTCAGCCATTCAGGTTTATGTACATATATATAAAAAGATCAGCTTTCACTACATCCCTGAGAGTAAAGTCTCCTCTTTCATAAACACCCCTGTCTCCTAAAAGTACTGTGAGCACCTCCTGGTGTTTCCCCTCTCTCTGTTTGTCTTTCCAGATCAGGACGGTCTGTTATGGCTCCCAGCTTGTTGGAGGAGTTCTTTCCCGTAAGGCAGAAGCAGACGTCTCGTCCCAGCGTCTCGGAAAAAGTCTGCTGTTATTTTCTGCTCAGCTCAGCCAATGCAGGACGGTGCTGAGGCTGTTTGACGATCTCTCCATGCTGGCTTATTCCCGCAGCTATGGGTTTGGAGACGGGGTGGGTCACACAACAACGCTCTGCTCCGTCCACTTCCTCCTCTCAAGTCTTATCATTCTTCAGAATTCAGTCAGGGAGGGATCGATGAACATCTGTCCCACTAAATGAAAAACATGATACAGTGGTTCTCTGTCCATATTCTAAGACAAATGGCAGTGGTGGAAAGTGACTAAGTACTTTTACTCAAGTACTGTCCTTGTTATTATTGTATCAAGATATTTTACATCTCTTCTGTTCTTTTAAAGGAGGAGGACAGAGGTGTTCGTTGGATTTCTGTGCTGACCAACGTGGCCGATCAGCTCTATTACCCCTGTGAACACATCGCATGGGCCGCCGACGCTGAGCTCATCAAAGTGAAGTCTGATAAATGGTGGCTGTTGAGCACGGTGCTGTGGGGAACCTCGCTGCTGCTGGGAATACTCAGGTGAGCTTACCTGTACACGTATGGAGTCACAGAAATGATAAATGTTACTTATAGGCTGATTACTGAGAGGTATAACTGAATGTATAATTGAAGAACACGGTAAATTAAGTGAATCAAATTTACTGTATTAGTTTATCTTTTATATTTATGGTATTTTGTGTATTTTAATATGTTCTTATTTATATAATGATTTTATTAGTATGTGTTAAATGTCTGTCCAGCACTCATGGAGGCAAGTTCTGAATAATGTTTAAAGGCAATACATTTAACTCGGCTCATAATTTTCCTCCATGTGAAAAAAAATCCAAACAGATCAAAAGTAGGTCTGTTTTTTCACAATTAGTTTTTACTCGTTCTGTTAATTTTTCAAATCTTCTCTTGCAAAGTGTAGTTCCTGTTCAAAAGTCTAACTATTGTATAATCTGTGAAAAATAAAAACTAAAGCAGAGGTTGCTTTGACTCGATCTCACCAACACTAAGAGTGCAATTTAAGCTTAAAGTGGAGCGCTTTGTAACCTTGGGTGCTCACTTAGATTATTTCTTGCTTTACCTGCCAAATATCGAGCATAAAACACTTTCAGTCGTTTTTTTATTTTTTATTTTTAAGGTCGCTTCGAGTTCTGCTGCTGCTGAAGAAGAAGCTGAAGAGATGTGGGAGAGATGGAGCTGGCAACAGGTGTTGTTTCTGCAGTTTTATCACAAATGTTCAGCCTCCGTAACGGATATAAGACAGGCTTCTTTACTTTGTGAGACATTTTCCTCCTGTATAAAACAATGTGTCCTGTGGGGTTTTTTTTCCCGTAGTCACTCTCAGCTCTGCAGACAGATGCGAGGGGAGGTTCTGTCCATCCTCAGCAGCATGGCTGACCTCAGTAACGCCATTCACTGGATGCCGCCCGGCTTCCTGTGGGCTGGTCGATTCCCCAACTGGCTGGTGGGGCTGATGGGCACCATCTCATCTCTGATTGGTTTAATCCAGATGAGCACCAGCGACAGTGACCAGACAGACAGCACATAGTCTTCACCTCACAGTGAGGAGTAGATGAGAGGCTTAGATCAGCACCGAACGATTGACTTACGGTCTATCGGTGGAAAATGCTGAATGAAACGATGTGAAGCAGATCCAGAACATATGAAATCAAAACCATCTGGACCTATGACTGCACAGTAAGGAAATAAATTTAATACACTAGTGGCCAATCTTCAGATGTGAATGAAAGCTGCTTGAAAAAATAAGTAAGCAAAACATCTTCAAATTCACAAGATTTTTTTAAATATGTTTGGACATTTTAGTCAGTCGTCAGACAGTGAGAGGTAGGATTTGATGATGAGATTAATCAATCAAATTTTCTTTTATTTAGCTCGTATTTCTAAGATAACTGCTGCAGTTTTACAATCACACAACTGTGAAATTCATTGAGAATATATGTGTTGTTACATAGATGAAAGTATTACATGGCATGCATTTTAGTAGAGTGTAGAGGTTTTCAGAGAGTAGGATGTAGATCCTACATGACAATAAAATCCTGATGGCATTGTGGTTACTTGGGGGCACTTCCTGGGGTAAATCTTCTTTGTATTTATCCCATAATGACACTGTGTGTCCTGGTTTGTCAATATTCAAAGTGGTCTAACATTTCCCCCCTATTCCTGGCTGGTCAAAAGTTGATTTTTGCAGCAATCACTAGGTTTAACAGAGGTTTTAAGCGCAGGAGAGACACAAAGTGACACTAAACCTCTACCTGTTCCGTCAACCCAGACGGTCACAGCACAATTAGCTAAAATAGGGGATTTCATGGCTGTGTTTTGAAATTAAATCTGTGTGTTGAGTTTAAGAGATGTACGATAATGAGTAGAAAGGCTAGAAAATTGTTGCCTTAGAGACACACTCCATACAGCTGATTTTAAATCTTGCATTTATTCGTCTACAGTGATTCATAAACTGTGAATTAATTATTATACCTTGTTAGTATTGTGATGATTGGGCTGCAAGGATTCATCTGAAAAGTACTGAACATAGTAAGTGCCCTAGGTGTTGAAATTGTCTTAACTGTTGACATTAGCCGCAGAAATATCTGAATACATCAGGGAATCAGTAAAAATCAGGTATGAGATTTTGGAATGAAGTTTGGTATCCCCTAGACATTGCTGACCACGTTTTAGATGGAAACAGTCTGTAATACTGGTCAAATGGGACAGAAGATACCCAGAATGTAAATGAATAAAAATGTAAAATAATTTTAGATCATGTAAAATATTGAACATTTTAAAATAAACAGTTGAATTCTCTGCCCTTTCTCAGTCGTTTACAATTGTATCAAAACTGATAGAGCCTGGAGTATCAATTATTAACATATTATTAAGATATCCTAAAATAAGAGTTTTTGAAATGAAGTTTGGTATGCTCAGAGACGTATATGGAAGCAGTCTGTATTACTTGTCAGAAGAGACATAAGCTGCTTGGAATGTAAAACATTTTAGGTCATGTAAAAATGATGAACTTTATAAATGAACTTCTTTTTGGATCGATGTATTTGACGTTTGATTGAGCAGGACTTGAAGGTTCAACGTGACGTATGCTCTTGCTACCTTCAGCCTCTGTCGGACATGTAAAAAACCATTGGAGCCTATTGAGCGCAAATATTCAACATTATAAAGACATGTCAAATGCCCCACAAGACCGGGGCTTATCACTCTTTGTTTTCATCTTCAAATTGTTATTATAAACACAGTACAGGGATAGCTACGTTAAAGCAATTAAATTACATATTATAATCGAGTTTATTGTTAAATCGTGCGGTAAGAATCCAAGAGACGGACGTTCACAAGAGCACTTGAACATCACACAAGTACAGTCTGCCAACAAGTAGAAGCTGTCGGTTTAACAGCAGCCGCCACAATCACAGGAGAACTCTGTTTTATACAAACAGTGACTGTTTTTTACTTGTGGATTATGTAAAATTAATATATTTACCCGTGCTGTTGTTGTTATTATGACGAATAAAATTAAGCTAAAGTTTTGGAAAAGACTCAAACACCAAACCACGTCAACTTCTCTGTCGTGGCACCTACAGGAGTCTCTCTCTGGCCACAAAGGAACCGAGAAAGACCTAAAATATCAGGTAAGAGCTCCTATTTTAGCTACTTAGCCCCTTGTATTTTTATTGTAATTCCCATGTTTTGATAATGAACTCCTTATCAGGGTGCTGCAGTGTTAATTAGCTAAGTAGTTAGCTTTAAGCTTTTTGGAATAGCTAACTTTAGTTAGCCAAATTCAGCAGTTTTTGCTTCGCAGTGTTAAATTTGTATTAAGGCTTTTTGGGTTTATTTGTTTTGTTTATTTTTTAGATCATCGTTAGTTTTCTGGACTGCCAGCCCTTTGGCTAACAAATTAGCTCCACGAAATACTGCCTTGCAGGTTTTAGGGAGAACTGTGTGCCATTTCCAATGCCCATTAACATTTTGCGCATTTAAAGTCGCTTTAAACTGTTGTTTAAAGCACGTAATTAAGTTGTATTTGATTTCTAATGGTTGATTATTCTGACCGTTAAAGTTGCACCTACTAACCAGTAATGTGCTTATCTGTAAACTGTATCTCTGATATTTGGTTCTCGGAGATTTTTTTCCTCTTAAATACATATTGGTATTTAAATAGTGTTTTGCCTGGTGGATCATTTAGATGCTGGATTTACCAGAAGACCTGCCTGATTTGTGAAACGATTCTTCAGTGTTGTTGTTCATTACACTAACGCTCATACAGTTATCGATAAGGAACATATCAGTTGAAGTGAAGTTTCGTATGCTTTATTTTCAACACATGAGAGTGGAATTACCAAACCTGCTTGTTCTCCAGGAGGTTGATTTGTGGGTATATTAATTTGCAGGTAATGACAACTGAATGAAAAAGGGATGCGCAGCATGGTATTCTCTAGGGGTCTATTTGATGGTAACACACATTGTACATGTTGTCCATGTACTTTGAGCTTTAGGCTGCTGTTTCTATCTTGATGGCACTGAGAACAAGAGGGTGAATGATTGTATTTCAGATAGTGCTGGGTTTAACTTGTACAGCTGTTTCTACTAGTACTAAAGTCATGGTGGTAGACAGTCTTTTACACTGGGAGCGTGGTGAGTGCAGCAGCTCTTATTTAGATCAGAATTACTGATTTTGCATTGCAATTTAGTTCCATTGTTGGAAACCTTATTAACCAAATTCCTTATAAGTCTGCTGCATTGTGACCTCAACCAGGAATCAACACAGTAATACCAGTTTTCCTCTGACAGGCTTTTGTACAAAATGGACACAGACGTCTGCCCTGCTGATCAGCCCACCTCTGCGCCCTCAGACATCCAGTTGTCTGACTCTGTCCCTGTTAATGAAGCCTCTGGGGTTGAGGTAATCAGACGGACTGTAGCAGCTCTGCCAGGTTCAGAGGTGGAGGATCTGGATTCCTACAACCTGATTGAGCCTCCTCCATTAGACTGGAGGTCTGACTCCTCCAGTGAGCCAGGCTCCGCAGATGACCTGGATGACCCCGGCTTCCCTCCTTCTGTTGACAACATGGACAAGGCCAGTCCAGGTGAGCCAGTATTAATGCCTTTGGACGTGAGTGACACAGTGGCTCAACTCAACATAAACCAGCAGGAGCTGGTGCAAAATAATTCAGAGCCAGTCCAGAATACAGAAGTAGAGGTGGAGGAAGGGGATGCAGCAGTTGATGAGGATGAAGGGGTGAGGGTGGAGGATTTGGAGGGTGCGGAAGACCAGGAGGAGGTAACATTTAGGGACGTGGAAAATATAGTTACTGCAGAGGAAGTTGCTAACAGAAGATCAGGTGATGAAGACCACAGCCGCATTCACACCCTGCTCAGCCAGCTCCAGCTGATGGGTGAAGAGCCTCATCCCAGTCATCGGACACCACCTCACCATCACTACTCCAGCCTGTCAGAGCTAGAAGACTGTGCTCCCTCCTTAATAACAGATGACAGCACTGAAACCACTGGGTTGCTGTTCTCTGAAAGCCACCAGAGAGACCTGCTGGGGCTGCTGCAGTGCACAGAGATCGGTGCTACTCCCTGTCCCACCTCTCTGCCCCATAGAGGGGAGGTGGATGCTGTAGTGTCAGTTTCCTACAGTCAGGAGGACGCTCAGAGGTTCTGGGGGCATTATGGGAATGGTCAACATCAGCGGCACAGGGACGACTCCCTCACCTCCCTGCCTGACGAAGAGTATCCTGAACCAGTGTGGATGAAACTGGGCGAGGAGCCTCCAGACCAAGAAGCTGCTGCAGAGAGTGAGCAGGTAGGTCATGGTACAATTACTATAATAAGCTAAAAGGAGGATGAACTAAGGTGTAAAGTATGAGGCATAGAACTACACAAGAAATACTTAAAACATAGATTAATTGCAATTGCAATTAATTCCCTCTCCCTCTGCTGTCACTGCAGAGTGCTGATGACCATCCTTCATATAAAAATGGTGAGTCACTTCACTATATTTCTTTTATCTTGTTGACATTGAGCTGGATTTTTTATGTCAAATGTCACAGTGACACAATAAAGAAAAGAAAATAGGGCATCTTATAATTAATGTGTTTTACTTTTTAGTGCCTGGTCCTTGTGACCCTGAAGACCTGTTGGATGGGGTAATATTTGGTGCCAAGTATCTGGGCTCCACTCAGATCAAATCAGACAGGAACCCATCTACGAACGCTCGTATGGCTCAGGCTCAGGAAGCTGTGGACCGAATAAAGGTAAAAATCCAGTAAGAGACACACCAAAACCATCGGCTTACCATGGATACTGCTTTGAAACAGACTCACGACACACCAGGCCTGACTGACATCATGAAAATAAAGCAGTTGCTGTGCTACATTGCTTGGTAGTGTTTCTGGGTGGTGGTGTTGCTGAAAAGATATTTGAAGTAACGTACAGATTTTTCTATTATGACGAGACCAGCTGGCTGGGATGACGTCATGTACTCGTATCTAAAGATTGACCTGAAGTACTTTTGACTGGACTGTATTTCTTTCAGGCTCCAGAGGGTGAGTCTCAGCCAATGACAGAAGTGGATTTGTTCATCTCCACGCAGAGAATCAAAGTGCTGACTGCTGACTCACAGGTACTGTATGTTCTGCTAGTTGACCAGCAAACATTGTCTGTTTTTACCAAGTAGTTTTAAAGTTATCTTCCTTTCCTCTTGTAGTTTACCCTTTTCACATAAAAAAAAAAAAAAAAATGTAAATAAAGTGTAAGTGAGTATCATACAGTGTTATTAGTGTCAATACTACCACTTTGTTACCATTCATAGTGGTTGTATTCTGGCTTTTTAGCCAACACAAGCTGATGATGGATATGATAGAGTGAATTGTGAGATTAATTTATGGATGACTTCAGAATACATGAAGATATTTTTTACTATGATCTGTGTGTCATTTACATGTGTTGTAAAAGGAGGTTGGTTGGAGGAGTTATCGAAAGGTAATGGAATTAAAATACGAAAACATGTAGGAACCCTGAGCTGCTTAGATGTCTGCAGTTGCCAGTGTGTGTCCATGTTATTTTTCCTGATCCCTACTTGTTAAATATCTAAAATATAATTAGATTCAGGGTTTGATTTCTGTTGTGAAAACATCATAGACTGTATATAAAGAGGAAAACATTCATTATTGAACTTTTATTTTATAAAGCACTTCTAAATTTACACCCTCATGCTAAGCGTTCACAGCAGGAATCCTTAATATAGAACTGGATGGTGATTTAATATCAGAGCTCTGCAGTGATGTTGCAGTAATAGTAGAGTCTATTTTCCTCCACTGTGTGGTTGAATTGTCAGGAGCGTAAAAGTGGGTCATTTACTGTCAGCTCCCCCTTTGCACGGCTGGTTGTGCCTCACTGCACCATACTTGTAAAAAATAATCACAGCTTTTTGGTGATGTTTCTTGGTTTCAGTTATTATTTACAAATAATATACTTACTATTTGAGATACACAGTGGCATTAAAAAGGGAAGATGCGTTTATAAATCACTTTGTTATAATTATATTTGCAAGAATCGTTTTGAAAAGTCTTTTAGTTGTTACTTTGACGGACACTACAACCTCTCAAATTTGATAGCTGACCGCTCAACAAATTCCCATATCATTTTTTTTTTTTTTTTTACAAGTTCATGATTGTTTTCTTAATTAGATTTTCTGTCAACATAGCTCATCAGTGACCTGCTTTATGGCAGATCACT